AAAAATATTATATATTGTATTTAATAAATATTAAATTAAATATTAAAAAAAAACATCTTTAAATTTATTTAAAGTGGAAAAGAAAAAAGTAGGATAATTTTTGGATGAAAAAAATGAAATGAATTGAAGTGACTTTAGAGTTTGTTAAAAAGATTTGAAAGTAAATTATAGTATAAAAATAATAATATTCATTTCATCATTCAAATTTATATTTTTTTAATTTATAATTTTTTTTTTATTCTTAGAAGAAAATACACTATTTTTGTTTTTATATTTTAATATAAAAGATAAAAGATAATAATAATTATTTATTTTTATTAAAATTTGTGCTTAAATATTTAAACACAATTAGATGGTGAAATGAGTAATAAAAATTTTTTAAAAAAATCAATTGTAGATGTTAAAGGAAAAAAAATTTCTCCATCCGTCAAATTTATTCTTATTTTTTTTTTAATTAGTCAGCTAATTTTACTACATTACTAATTTTGACAAAATAAGCAAATCAAAATTTCACTATTATTCTTTATTCAATATATAATTACAATAAATATTACTATTTTTATTGTATTATCTCTTTATATTTATTTTATTTTAATCTAAATTTCAAAAATACATCCGACTATTCTTTTTATTATTATTATTTTTTAATAAAATATTATTTTTTTCAATTTTCGTATCAAATTCAAATATTTTACTTACTGCACAGAAATAATACTATATTATCAGTTAAAATAGATATTTGTACAAATTTTGAAAATCTAAAATTATAAAATACTCCTTTCGTCCCGAATATCATATCCATTTTACTGTAAATGCGAGGTTTTAAAAGAGATATAATTAGTAAATAATTAACAATATATATAATATATTAGTGAATATTAGTATCATATAATAAAAATAATTATAGATTAAAATTAAAAATAATTATAAAATAAAAAATTTAAAATAAGATTAAATATATTTTTTTTCAAAAAAATAAAAAAATAAGTAGGACAAACTAAAATAGAAAAGTGGACATAATAAATGAGATAGAGATAATATTAAATATAATAATTATAAAAATAAATATTTAATATAATATTTTTTAAAATAATTACAATTTATCACTATTTGTTGTCTAAAATTTTAGGCAAAATTGTCCATAACTCCCTTGTGGTTTCGAAACTCAGCGTAAATTCCCCATCTACTTTAAAAATTGCATGGTACTCCCTTATACTTTAAAAAATATTGCATGAAACCCCACCACCATAAAACTTTCCTCATGTGATAAGAAGATGATTTCCTATCTATATGTTTTGCATGGCACGAAGGTTTTATGCAATATTTTTTAAAGTATAAGTGAGCGTCATGCAATTTTTTAAAGTAAAATGAGGATTTATGCTGAGTTTCGAAATCACAAAGTGGTTTCATGCAATATTTTTTATAATATAAGAGAATATTATGTAATTTTTAAAATAGAAGAAGAATTTAAGTTGAGTTTCGAAATCACACTAAAGTTATTGATAATTTTGCAAAAATTTTAAAATTGTATGGATAAGCGGAACAGCTAGTCAAGTCAATGATTTATTTAATTATAAAAGTAAATTATCTTATTAAGAGTAGGTCTGAAATTTAAGACACGTAACCTACTCCCAGTCCCCAAGTCGTCAATATATTAATGATAATAATAATAATAATAAAATCAATTTGCAAATATATAATATTAATATTAATTGTTAAAAATATATATAATATTAAATAATTTATTATTTATACAAAATATTATACTTATTCGGTTAACTTAATAAGTTTATATTCTTCTTTTGCGTTATTATATTAAATATTAAAAATATTTTTATATTTGTATAATTTTTTATATAAATTTTATTATATTTTTATTACAAAATACTAATAAAAATATTTTTTATTTTATTTCTCTTAATTAGTATTTACTTTTGAGTTAATTTTATATTTAAATATAACGACAAAAAGCAAATGTAAATTTTCAAAAGTAAAATAAGGGAGTGTTATATATTTATTAACGTTTTTAGATAAATTGATTTTTTAGGTGTACTATAAGAAATTGTGTTAAAAATAAAAAATATAGTACTCCCTTCGTTCCGTTGGAAGGTTGATATTTGTTTTTTGCATGTAAATTTTTTAATATTAGTATTATATTATATTGTAGTAAAAAAGACAAAAATACCCATATTAGTATAGTGTAATATAAAAGTAATGACATTTGTGTAATATTTTGTAAGTTGAAAGGGTATTTATTATGTTAGGTAGGTAGTACAATTACTAAATTACCAAACGATAACCTTATTTTGGGACGAACGAAAATGGAAAATGGTAACCTTTCAATGGGACGGAAGGAGTATTTTAAATTAATATTTGATTTTTTTGACTTTTGTAATAAATATTTAATTTTTTTTCAAATTTATTTTTGATTGGTGGTATAAATAATTGTGTAAAAATTATAAAATATTATTATTTTTTAAAAATCGTAATTTCCAAAAAGGTCTGCAAGAATTAATTAAGAGTTCTTTTTTTTTTTTAATGATTTTTGGTTTAGACTTTTGGCACAATAAAAATTTATTTAATGTAATATAAATAAATATTTAATTTTATATTTTGAATGAAAATTAAATTTTTGCTTTGATAAAAGCTTTAGAAAATTTTTATTTTAATTGAAAATACGCTACAAAATTTTAAATTATGTTTAGTCATAAATTTTGGAGATGTTTTAGAATTTTTTTTTAATTATAATGATTATATAATTATTGTTAACCGATGATGTGAGGACATCAAAATTTATTTTATAGGTATTGTAATAAAAATATAATCAAATACTCCATCCGTCAGAAATATTATTTGCTTTTTGCCCGTAGCTTTAAAAATATTAGTATTATATTAGAATATAGTAGGAATAAAATAGAAATGACTAAAATAACCTTATTAATATGTATGATATAAAGGTAATGACATTTGTGTAATATATTGTAAGTTTAAGGGTATTTGTAATGTTAGGTAGATAGTACAGTTACTACAAAAGGAAATGGATACTTTGTTATGGGACGGACTAGAATGAAAAATGGATACTTTGTTATGAGACGGAGGGAGTATTTATTTTATTTTGAAGAAATAAAAAATTTAGTTGATACAAAAATATAGTAATATATTATCCTTCATCACAAATATTCTCCAATAATTATTTTTATATTTATTTTTTTGTCTGATTTAAACCTCTTACAATATTTTTAAAATACAAAATAATTGATTATACTTAATTTTTACATCATATTTTTTTAATCATGTTATTCAAATAAAAAAATTAAATATACATTTCTCGTCAATCACATCGTCTGATTTCTAAATTATTCTATTTAATTATATTCTAGTATCGAAAACAAATATTACCACTATATTTGAGATGAAAAAGTATTACAAATTAATTTAAAATAAAATTAATATTTCATTCAACTTATTTATAGTATTATTTTACTTACTATTTACTATTGTCTGATTTAAATACTTTTTTTTTTAAAAAAAAAATTATAGTTAATTTAATTTTTAATTTATCTTTACTCTTACTTTTTTTTTACCAAAAAATTATTAGGAACTTCATTTTTTATCCTAGTAAATTTATTTATTTATTTATTTATTTTTTAAATCTTATATAAACAAATCAATTCACCAATATAGTATAAGAGGGATAAAAGAGATTAAATAATTATATATATAATATTAGTAAATGATGAGTGCCACTCTTAGGCGGTGCCAACCTCATTACTTTTTTCCCAACAATATATGATTCACCATATGTTTTATTTTTATTTGTATTTTATAATTTTATCAAAATAATAATAATAATAATAATAATACTTTTTTCTTCTTAAAAAATAAATTAAAATATTCTTTTCATCCCACAATAATTGATGTATTTTTTATTTTTGCATATTTTATAATCATTGACACATTTCTATTTTGTATAAAATTTACTACAAATATAAATCTAACTTAATTGACTATATAACATATTATATCATATATTACTCATTCAAAACTCTTTTATTTCTATGTCTCCTAAAAAAAATAAATATTTCTATCTAAATTTAAAACTCCACTTCTTGTATTAAATTAGTTTATATTCATTATAAATATATCTATATTGCATATATTTTTTTTGCTATATAAATTTTAAAATATTTAAATACATATTCTAACTTTTAATGATATACTCCCTCCGTTCCAGAACTATAGTCTTAATTGGGTTTGACACGGAATTTAAGAAATATTGATAGTTGGTAAAAAGTATAGATACAATACTTTTTTGCCCTTGTGAATGTATTAGTGTAAAAAGTAGTGGCAATTTTGTAATAAAAATGAAAAAGTAGGGATAGTTTTATGGTGATATGGTTATTTATGAAAATAAAACTATTGTTTTAGGACGGACAAAAATGATAAACAAGACTATTGTATCGGTACAAAAAGAGAGTATATTAAATTTATTAAAACTACCAATACTATTAATTATATAAAAAAAATAATAAAATAATATCATAATTCACTGTTATTAATGCATTATTAATAAAAATGGGCCAATTATCTCGTGACAAAAAGAAAAGTGTACTAATTGAACTAAGATTTAAAGGTCAAAAGATTCAAAATCTAACACACCTTAAAAGGAATAATCTCTCCGTCCACTTACAATGTTTACATATTTCTATTTTGGGACGTCCAATTACAAAGTTAACATTTCATTAAATACTTTACTTTTTTCCACAAATACCCTTACTTTACATCACATCATTACTTTTACAAAACAAAGTAAGGGTAAAAATGTCATTACACTACTTTTAACTACTCGTTATAATTAAAATACTATTATTTCTTAAACACCGCGCTAAAAGTAAATGTAAACATTATAAGTGGATGGAGGGAGTAAATTACATTCGATCTTTTCTTTTCTTGTTTTTTATCCATATTTGTGAAATGTGGAAGAAAAATCAAACAAACCCTAATTCCAAAAACACACATTTATTCGAAAAAACCAAAAAAGACAAGAAAACTACAACCACTCGATGATGACTCCCTTATCGACTATTGCACAAATTATTACAAGCATCGAAGAAACATACATATATATATATATATATATATGAGAATAGTTTCTATAGTAATCACATCGAAGATACCTCAACTTGTGAAGTAAAACTTGTTTCTTGAATCTTGTCTTTCAACAACGGGACGCTTTGCTCGTGTCTAAAATAGTTAGTCGGATCAACCACGGTCTTAACCTCGGCCAATCGTCTAAAATTCCCTTTAAAATACTTCAAACCCCACGAACTCGCTTGTCTATAGCTCGTGTTTCCGACATTGTTGATTCCCAAATCAAGATCCCTATAATTCATATAACTCAGCCTCGGATTCTTCGTAACGTAGGGGGTCAGGTATCTGTTGACCCGTCTAACCCATCGTATCGACTGCCTCGAATTCCCCGTATGATTCCAATACGAGAGTTGTTGGATCTTGAATAACGTCCCGTTCCTATGAGGAAACGGCGTTGCGGATTCTGAAATCTCATTCATTTTCCCCCCGTAATGGGCGAACAGTAGTTCGCCCTGATCGGGTTGTCGTTCTAACATCAACTTCCATAGGCCTTTGAAAGCCCGTTTCGGGATGGGTTTGTGGACATAATCTAACTTCGCCTTGTAACTAAACCTCGTCGCCCGAATGCTACTAGGGATTGTCGGGTTTCGACTCAATAATATGTCGGGATTTGCGTCGATAGTGTACCCCCCGAATACGAGCGACGATTGGATCCATCTCACTTCTTGGCAATCCTCGGCCGTAACGCCTAGCTCGGGGAAATCGTTGTCCATTATTTTAAGAAGGTCAGATTTCCGACCTAGGTATAACGAGCCAAAACTGCCTTGCAGTGTTAAGCTGACGTTGGTTGTAAACACGGGAGCTACGAAGACTCCAATGTAGATATCTTTCGTAAGATTCGGAGCTACGTATTGCCAACGGTCGAGAATGTCGGTTAGATTTTGCTCGAGCGTCCGCGTGACGGCGAATATCGTGACGAGATCCGGCATCGTCACTAATTGCACTCTCCATGCAAGAATAACTCCAAAACTCGCGCCTCCGCCGCCGCGAATCGCCCAAAAAAGATCTTCGCCCATTGAAACCTTATCGAGGATCCTCCCGTTAACATCGACTATGCGTGCATCGATGATGTTATCTGCAGCGAGGCCGTATTTTCTAAACATGCCGCCGTATCCGCCGCCGGCGAAGAGCCCGCCGACTCCGACGGTGGGGCACCCGCCGGCGGGGAATCCGAGGGTCGGGTCGGTGTTATAGAGGGTATTATATAATTGCCCGTTGGTTGCGCCGGTTTGAACCCATGCGGTTCTCGTCGTGAGATCAATATCGATATCGTTAAGACGGAACAGATCGAGGATCATGAAAGGGATTCTCGATAAGTACGAGAGTCCCTCGTAGTCGTGCCCGCCGCTACGGGTTCGGATTTGTAACCCGCTTTGTTTCGCGCATAGTATGATCGGAGGGACTTGGGATTCGCGCACCGGCGTTACGATGAGTAGCGGTTTCGGCGCCGTCGGGGTTGCGAATCGGGTGTTTCTTATCGAGTCGACGAGGATCGTCGAGTAGGATGAGTTGATTGGAGTGTAGAGCACGCTCGATATATCGTTTGTGTCCTCGTCGCTAAGGGACAAACAGTCGAGAAAATCTTGGTGGACAAGAGCGATAACGGAGCATGAATACGAGAAAATTAGCAACACAAGAAGAGGGACAAGGGGTGTTCTTGAAAGCATGTTTTGATCGAAAGGATGAAGAAACTTTCGATGTGGGATGTTTGATTTAGGACATTTTTTGTTCCATTTTATAGTGTGATAATGTGTTGTGTGTGTCATCATCTCACAACTACAAGTCTACAACGACTTTATTATTGAATTTGATTTGGTATTTGTGTGGGGTTTGTTTGGTTCTTTTCAATACTCCCTTCCCTCCACAAAGTCCTACTTTTCTATATGGGACGTCCAACAACTATTATCCTATTTTTTTTAAATATAAATTTTATATTTTTACCCTTAATTCATTTATTACTTTTAATCTCTATCATATATTAAAGGCAAATTTGTCCATTAATAACAAAAAGACAATCACCTAAAAAACCGTATAAATATACTTTAGGACAATAGAAAATGGAGCGGAGGAAGTATTTGTTTAACTTGATTTTTTTATGAGAAGAAAAATAATACTTAAATACATTCATTTTTACAAAATATTACGTACTCTTTTTTTCGATGAAAAAATATATTTTCTCCGTCGTTCAAATCTATATTCACTTTCTTTTTAGAATTATCATAAAAATGTATTCTCGTTTCTTTTTTAAGTAAAAAATTATTATACTTTTGTATTTTTTTTTACTATAAAAAAAATAAACAATTATTACTCACTTTTATTAAAACTGTATCTGGTCAAATGAACACACATTTGCACGACGGAAAAAGTACTATTTTTGTTTGTAAATATTTTAAAAAACAACAAAAATAAATGAATAGTTTAATTTTAATTTGAAATTAATTTTAATTCTCATTTAAATAGCGTATTGATGATAATTTGTAAAAAGAAATAATATGTTTTTAATAAAAAATAGTACAAAATAAATAGTATTAATTTGTATTTTAAACACAAGCCAAATATACCTAATTTTTTTATTAATATTTTCATAATTTACAATAACTATTAATAAATATTTTAAAAAATTCCAAATACTTCAAAAAAAACATAATATATTTTTTTTATTAAAAATAATAAATAGTAAGAAGCTTAAAAAAACAGTGAAAGTAAACAAACCGGATGTTTAAGGGTGCTTGGTCGATATTTTTAAAGTGTTTTGAATTTTATAATTTTAAATGAAAATTAATTTTGAATATAATATTTTAAAATAAAAAATAAGTTGTAAAATATTAAATAAATAAAATATATTTTAAATAAATAAAAATTATTAAATATAATATATCTCAAATTAAAAAGGAAAAAAGAAATCAAATCACAAAGAAATATATATTTTTAATGAGTTTAGTTTACAAATTATTAAGTTTAATTTAAAAATTTTATTCAAAGAGCATTCGAAAAATACCGTGAATTTCCAAGTTAATAAATAAATAAATAAATAAATAAAATGGCCTAACAAAGGGGTGCAAATTTTAGTATATTGACAGCGCAATAAGTTCGATTTGCGTCAAGGACTAAAATTAGCACTTTCTGCCACGATGACTTTTAAGATAGTGAATTTTTAATTCATATATTTAAAATATATATATATAAGTATAATATTTAAAAAATTAAATAGTATATATATATATATATATAAAACAACACGATATTCTAAACTCGGAGTCGGTTTTATTATTACTTTAATATTTTGTTTTGTTTATGTCCTAAACAAAAGAAAAAAATATATATATTATCTCCGTCCCAATACAATAGTTCATTTATTATATTTTTTTGTCTTAAAATAATAATTTTATTATATTTATTCGTCTTAAAATAATAGTTTAAAAAAAATGGAGAGCAATTCATAACATTCTTGAATACCAAGATAAGTTCGAAACAAAGCTAATATTTTTCAATTTTTATTTTATATAATTTTATTGTTTTAATAATTTTTTAATATTTTATTTTAAAAACAACAAAATAATTAACTTACAAAATACAAATAAAAAAGACAAAATGCAATACTTGAGGATATGGGCAAAAGCTTATCTTGTTTCTTTCAATGCTGACCTCTATTTAAGACTTAAGAGGGTTTCAATAAAAAAAATAATAATAATAATAAAAAAAAAATTCTTTATTGAAAAATAAATATATACTATTTTTTTCCGGCTCTAAGGATCTTATTTACTTTTTGTTTGTTGATTTTTAAATATTATTTATTATATCAAAATATAGCAAAATACTTCATTTAGTGTCTTATAATACTAATACAAAGATATTTGTAAAAAAAAATTATATAAATATAAGGATATTTTTAATGTCACGTACAATGACGCAAAAAGTAAATATGATACTTAGATGCAGACGTAGGAAGTATATGTTATTTTATATGTAAGTATTTGTTTATTGAAAAATAAAATAGTCTACTATTATTAAAATTGGTATTAAATTAATAGTATTTATTTTGATTTGAAATTACAATCAAACAAATTATCGATCGCTTTGAAAATATGGTGTTCCGCATTTATTTTGATTAAGACAATTATAAGCGTTTGTGAATTATTTGAGCGTATGTTTGGTTTCGATTGGAAATTTCGGGTGGTGATTTGAGTGTATTTTAAATAATATTTTAATATGATATTTTACAAAATAATTTATTTAAAATAAAAAAATAAATACATCATTTATTTTTTCTTTTGAATTACAAATGATTTGTTTTGTTATTGTTGAAATTAATTTGAAATGAGATTATAATTTAAATTTTTAATTTATTGAAATAAAATTTTGATATAATATTTTATGAAGAAATAAAATAAAATATATTTTTATTTAAAATTATGCAAAAGTGAATAGTGGTAAAATCACAAAAGAACAAATTCGAGTTTTGGTTTAAATTTATTTTATAAAATTTTAAATTAAAATAGTTGTTTGACGAAATATAAATGAATATTAGTATAATGCTTTAAAAATAAAATTAATTTTGATGACAATACTATAAAAATAAAATAAAATAAAATAAAAAAGACTAATTTAATATTTTGAAAAAAAATTGTTTTTAAATAATTAAATAGTACAAATTTTGCTAAACCTACGACCAAATAGAGCTAAGGTTATTTTAAAAAACAATTAATATAAAGGGATTTTTTTTTTCAATTTTATATTTTTAGTAAAAAAATTATCAATCGACTATTATTTAAATTAAAATCTAAATATAAAGTCTTAAAAAATATATAATTAGTTTTATTTTATTATATAAATGTTCAGCCGCCACCGAAAAAAAAAATAAAAAAAATAAAATAATAATAATAATAATAATGGAAAAGGAAATGTAACATCCTTTTACATGAAAGATTAGGAACTTTCCGAGTCCTTTTGTTAATATTTAATTATTTTAAAATATATTTCTCTTTTCGTCTCAATACAATAATCTTATTTATCATTATTATCCATTCCAAAATAATTGTCTTATTTTCATAAATAATCATATCACCATAAAACTATCTTTACTGTTTCAATTTTATTACACAATTGCTACTATTTTTTACACTAATACATTCACAAGCGCAAAAAAGTCATTTATCCTTACTTTTTACCTACTACAAATATAATATTAATATTTCTTAAATCTTGTGTACAACCAAATTAAGACTATAATTTTCTGAATGCCTTAATTAATATAATTAAATAAAAATTGAGTCCCTAATAATTAAGACAAATGATATATACTTTTCAAATTTTCGAGTTTATTCCATAATTATATTGTACTCAAAATTTCTAAGATAGTTTTATTATTTTGAAATTAATTTAATAAATAATAATCTTAATTTACATATACTTTTAATTTTTTTTGACACTATCTTTTAATAATAATAATTTTTTCAAAAAATATATTATGTCAAATTATTTTTATTCTTAAAAAAATATCATATAAAATACTATCCTTCTAACCATGAATGCTATGAAATATTTTTATTTATAAAAATAAATAAAATATGGAAAAGTGTTTGTCCTCACATGAGTTGGAAAGTCAAATTTGCACAACTTTTATATTTCAACAATCAATTATATAAATATTTTATTTTATAAAACACAAGATTTATTACATCACATTACATCATATCATATCACATGCATAATAAGAAAAGAAAAAAAGAAAAGAAAAATTCAAATGAATAAACTTTTATACTACCACATAATTTGTTCATATTTTCTATTTTCGTCCTTCCCACGTAACTTGTCTTTTTTATTTTTGAAAAATATAATTATGCACTTTAATCGCATTTTAAATTTTAAATTTTATAATTTTCTTAATAATAGTATTAAACTATTTACTTATTTTAATCTTAATCTATAATTATTTTTACTAAATAATAATTACTTTTACTAATACACTTTTTAATTACTTACTAATTATACTTCGTGTCTACAGTAATACACTCATATTACATGGGACGGATGGAGTAGTTATTACATCGAACATGTACCTTGTGAAGTAGTGATTGTACCTCCTTGGAGCACACTCTCTTGTTTATTTGAGTTTTAAAAAAAATAATATTTAAAAAATAAATTAATTTCATTCTTAATTTTTATTTCCCTCTCATATTCAAAAATATTGAGAGAAACGAACACTGACGCAGTGTATTCATTTTTATTTTTATATTATTTAACTTTTATAATTTAAAAAATATATATATTATTTTAATTTCACAAAAATCGGATTTAATTTATTATTCAAATATTTATTTTTTATAATTTTTTTCAAAAAAATATCCTAAAATCCAATATTTACAAAACATTGTACATAATTTATAATTTAAAAATAAATCACTAAAAATATTTTTTTCATAATTTTTCACTCTTTAAAATTTTCTCTTGTTCGATTAATCATGCATTTATTCTTGATCGATCAATCTAAATAGGTGCATTTATATATATATATATATATTTCTCAATTAAATTTTTGTTTTTATCGAATAAGATAATTAATTCTCATTATTTAGTGATTTTTTTTCTTTACAATTTCATTCTTTAACTCATTTATCTATAATTTTATTCTCGATACTAAACGCTCCTTAAAGTTACCGTTGAATTATTTCAAACCCTCACGAGCTTGCCTGTCGGAAGCTCGTGGTGCCAAACGTTATTGACCCCAGA